ACGTATACCGTATAACCATATTTCATATTTACTTAATAATAAAAAAAAAACTTAAAGATGGTTCTCAAATCAATTCTACTTATCTAAGGACACTTCCTTACAATATATTCCTACAAAAGAACGTAAGTATGGAAACTAAACTGAGTAAAATACTTACCAATAAATTACCTATAAAATTAACTACTGTACATCTATTAAGAATAATTATGAGGAATATTGTTCTTAGAGAGCAAACTATAAATATAGTAAAATACAGGACTGTAATATTGTCTTCTGTTTAAATTGTACATTAAAGCACAGAAAAGAAGATTAAAAAAAAAAAGGAAATGCTAGGATATTAGCCGTTAAGAATTTAAAAAAAAATTAACTACATGCAATCAAGTTTTAGTAGTTTAAAAATTTTAAACTCAATTTCCTAAAAATCTACTTTCTTAAACTTCAATCCCTAAAAATTCATAAATTTTGAAATTTTCGTTTTTATTCCTATTAGTAAAGTAAAGTTTATTTATTATGCTTATACCATAAGAAAAAACACCGCATAATAACAATTCTGATTTCTCGCAAGGTAAGGTTGCTTCTCATATTTTAGTTTCGTTTCATACGGTTCAAACATTCATTTCAAATATTAATCGACTACGTCATATAAGGAAACTATGACACGGTGACCTACCAATTAAATGCTTCATTATCATAATTTCGAAAGGCAACGAGATTATCACGCACTTTGCACTGCGTCATCTTCAAGTTTGTCCCAGTCGAACTCTGTCGCCCCATTTTTTAATGGCAACTCACCTAACCGTTTAAAACGTTCTGCAAAATTCTTATCTCGTCCTTTCAGCCTTTTAAACCTCTCAAACATAAGCTTCTTTGCAAAACTGTAAAGTTCGATGTCTAACGAATTCAATCTCGCTATGTTAGCCGCTTGTTCGGGGGTTAACGTAGGCATAGTAGAGCTCGAAAGTGTAGAGTTGTTCTGTTCAAAAGGAACTGCGAATCGTAAATTAAAAGTCTCTTCAAACACATATTGAGATATCTTTTGGTATTCAGTGAGACCAAAAAATGCCATTGAAGCCAAGTTACGTTTTGCGCTAGCCAACATTACGTGATCTCGTTCCACAGAAGGCATGTAAGTCTTATTGTAGCACCCAATCAGCTCCAAATCAGCCAACATGCGTGTCTGTCTATTGGCTGCTAGGTTTGAGTCACAATACATAAATTCATCCAATTCTACACCTTCCCAGTCTTCTCCCTTAAAACACGGAGGCACCTCTTGGATTGAAGCAGGACGACCGTTGCAAAAATGCCGAGAACCTTTACAGAAAAGCTTTTTCAAGTTTTACTTCAATAAATCACAAAAAAAAGGACCTAGTAGTACCTAACACCCAACATTTATTTTCTCTTACATTATTTCTGTTATATGATTTTAGCCCCAACTTCTCCTTTAATATGTTCCAGATATATCTCATACCACTTTTTTATAACGATTAATTAAATTAAGCAATATTTTTCAAGCAAAAATATTAAGTTTGAAAGAAAATAATTTTGCAAAAAAGATTTATAAACTAAAAGTAATTCAATTCATACCTTCTATTTTGAAAGTGCATAAGTTATCAGTTATGACATTTAAACTATTTAAAAGATACTGTATAAAATAAAGAATAGAAATAAGTTACCCTTCCAAGTTGCTCCTCGTTGAACATGCCTAAACTCTGAAAGATATCTTGCAACAGGTTCTCTAACTAAAGTGATATAAAAATATCTTCTTTTCGCTACATGGCCCTCCATCTCATCCAGTTTTTGGTCAACACAATTGGTCAATTCTGTCCAGTCAGCATGTAAACCACACTGCCAACCTGTCGTGTATCTGCTGAATAACCAGCTCTGGTTAGAATGTGGCCGAAAACAATAGCATCTTTTTCTATCAGAAGGGCATATACATGGTCTTTTCAGATCCAAATCATGTACTAAATGTTTTCCAAAGGATGTGCCACCTAATTAAACAGTTAAACAACAGAGTTGAATGTAAGAAATAGCTACTAAATATCTAACCTGTCTTTTGCATATGAAGAAAAACAATGACATCATGAGAATTCATATCAAAAGAAAACTCATCATTGATCATGTCATCATAGCTTAAACCTATTTTACTGTTTATATTCCTAAGGGGCCTTCCCATCCCATCATTTACAACTGTTGGAAGAGCATCATAACCTCTTGTAGATAAAGCACATACCTATGATTTAAATTGATTAAACATTGTAAAAAACTAACTCATGTAATTTTCTTACCCTGTCAGGGCAAAAGTATCCAAATCCAACTATTCCTGATACTGCTAAAGCAATGCAAAAAAACGCTATACTTTTTAACCTCGATCTATGTTCCATTGGCTTGATTTCATAGACCCCGTGTGGAAGAAGCAAGGCTATATCGGTTTCAATTGCTTGAACGGATACGCTCCTGAGGTCCTTCATTATTCATTACATGTTTCAATCAATTTTCATATTAATTTCAAAATAAAAACACAAGTACTATAGGTAAACAAACTACACCTGACATCTTCACTCGCGCATGCCTACAAATGCGTCTGCTGGTTCACTTTCCAAAAACTTTCAAATTACTGAGCGGGAATATTAATAAGTAGCTAATACCCTAATTCTAAATAATTATAAACATCTTTACTTATTGGCTGTATTTGAAATTACGCATTTATACAAATAATACTAGGTAACGCCATAAGAGTCCCAATCCGGTTCAATAACAAAATCTTTGGGTGTGTCTCTACAATTTTTAATTTTACATGTCCAAGGCAGTTCCATCAATTCTACTGCTAAAATTACAAAAGTTTTTTTTTGTAAATCTATTCTACTTTACTGGTGTCCATACCTCTGCCGCTTGGAAATAAATGAACTGCGTTTAACCAATATAATGTTTGCGCCATTATGCGAGCCAAAATTAAACAATACTGTTGAAAATGATTTTGCTGAAAGCAAGGCAATTCGAAGATTATTCCTTTTTTAAATGTTCTGTTACTGTTGCCTTCTTGTCGTTTGTCGTTAGATTTTAAAATTACGTGAGGACGAACGGTTTTTAATTTCTTAATTGATTTAATTTGCTCAACACAAGTATATTTTATTTGTCTTCCACAAAATTTAGTAGCATTAAAAATGTTTTTGTAACTTTTTTTTGGACTAACTGCTGGCATCACACTTTTAAGTGGATAGAAAAATTATTATTTGTGTACCAAAAATACAATCCGCTTTTTCACGGCAATTTTTGGTTTGCATTCATTACTTTTTAACTGAAAAATAAGAGAAATTTTAAGCTAGAATTTTAACTTGTTGACAAAAAGCCGTGAAATAAATTTGTGACAGTAACAGTTTGGACAGTTGAACTTTCTTATCATTTTGAAAGTATGAATTTGAAAAGAATAGTATAAAAACTTCTAAAAAGTTTACTATTTATTTTAGAAGAAGAAAAAGATAAATATAAACAATTTTAATTTTGATAACAGTACAGTAGACCAACGAAATTCTATTCGAATATGTACGTGTAAAAGTGTTTGTAGTTCATTTAGTTAACTATGTTGGCACTGACATTTGTGAATTGTTATTCGACACTTTAACCTAGAAAGTGAGTTGCAAATTGATTTTTATTATCTGTAATAAATTACAGATATCGTATTATTCTTTATTCGTCTAATTTCTGGTATGTGATGTTCAGAAACATTTTACGCTTCACACGACCCATTTTAAATGATTTTCGTTCACGCTTTGGCAATCAAGGTCAATTACGATCGTATATCCAGGTGTATATTGCGACCTAATTATTCCTAATATAGTTAAACTGTGACCAACTGTGACTGACTGTCGATGTTATCGTGGATAGCGCATCAAGTGTAGAATTTTTACATTTTATTTGTTCTAGAAACACCAAAGCATGCAGGTGGACAAGGAGAAACTAAAAGAAAAATTGACTCCTCTTCAGTATCACGTTACACAAGAAAAAGGAACAGAAAGGCCCTTTTCAGGTATTATGAACAAAAGTACTTTGTATTTTAAATACTTAAATTATTTCTTGCGTTTTCAGGATGTTACAATAAGTTTTATGAACCTGGTACTTACGTTTGCATAGTATGTGAACAGATTTTATTTAGTTCAGATACTAAATATGACAGTGGCTGTGGATGGCCAGCTTTTAATGATGTTGTAGACCAGGGTAGAGTAAAATTGTCACCAGACACAAGCGGAGGTATATCTTTTAAAATAACACATAAATTAGTAATTTTATAAGTACTAAACCATTCATGACAAATATGCTATATGATAACCTTTTTTGTTCCGGTGAGACCCTTGATATGGCTCATAATGAATAAGATAAATTACATAAAAATACTAATTTATGACTTACTATACTTTACAGTAGTGAACTAATGAGTGTGGTATTTTTAGATTGGTTTTTACATTTATTTGCTTTTAAAATTGAGTACTGACACACTAAGAAATAGATTTTGTGGAATTCCTGCTATTTTTACTTTCACAATGCAAAGGTTTTTTTATTCTACAAATTAACTAAAATTCAAAACATTTTTCAGAATCATTTTTTAAGTTTAAAAGCAGCAAAAAACATTAAATTTATAATCAGCATCTAATAAAAGTTTCATAATTTCAAAAAGTACATCCTATTTTGTTTTTACACAATAAATTATTAAAATTTCACTACTTATTGAGTGCTTCTTATTTTTTAAATTTATTATGAACCAATTTTGTATATTTGTATTTATGCAAATAAAACCTTAATATCCAGACTACTTTCCTATTCCTTTGAAACAAAAAACATTAGCATTTCTTTTTGGTGGTATTTTCATAAAAGCTTTTCTATTGTTTTATGTGGTGAAACGGTTTTACGTTTTATTATTTATCAAAATTTGTCTTGTCTTGTGTGGTTTTGGTCTTGATTTCATATGGTTTTCTGGGAGGCTAACGAGTGTTTTCTTTTTGGTTTTCCCACTGTTGTTGCCCTATTACCTTATGGTCCTTTATTCATCCTTTGCAATCATTTTCACTTTATTGCTTTGGTTACTTTTTACTCTTTTGTTTTGTTGCTTTTATCTCCCTGTTACCGATTAATTTTTATTTGGGACATTTTTTTTCGTTACCACCACTTTATGTTATACCATTGGCACTTACAATAAAAATACGCCAAACCACCCTTCATGTCTTTTCCCGTTTTATTTATGCATAACAAAAATTTATGCATACTAACCTGAACCTCTTTACCAAATATTTTCCCCCGTCCTTTTCCGTCGTTTGACTCCCTACTTGTCCTCCACATCAACCCCAATAGTCGGAGGAAACCTACTACTCCTCATATCCCAACCAGGGCGCATAAGGACGGAGGTGACGTGTTCCAAATGTGGCTCCCACTTAGGACATGTATTTGATGATGGTCCGGCTCCCACAAAGAAGAGATTCTGTATAAACTCAGCCTCTATTAACTTCGTTCCCGATGGAAAAACAAAGAGTGATAGCTAGTCGTTTGTTATTAAACTACCATTACAAGTAATTACGTGGATATTAAAATGGAAATAAGTCAGGTTGCATTTTATGCCTTATAAAAGCAGATAGTTTGTAACATGATGAACTTTGCAAACATGCAGTAAATAATTNAAACTAGCCGAATTCTCAAAATCTTTTGAAGGCTTTAAATTGCATTTATTTAACTTACATTGCTGTATTATTTAAATGAAAAAATGGCTGAAAGAGTTTGTAGCAATTTCCCTATGCCACGTCGTATTTTTTAAAAAATGATGCTTCCCTTTGATGATCGTATTCAATAGAATTTCCCTGTGTTCGGTTCTCAATTCGCCTGTACTGTATAATGTGGGTATTAAATACTAAAAGAAAACCGCAACTGCTAACTCAAAAATTGCAAATTTCTGATGAATATTCAATATCTAAAATTTTCTATCAGGTAATATTTTGGGATAATGTGCTACAAAAATTGCGTTGCATGTAATAAGTGATTACATATCAATTAATAACATTTCCAGAATTCCGAATGTAAAATTGAAGACGAAGCAAAAAGGAAATTTGGAGAAATTACTTGTACGTTTACTGATCAGATACGAGTAGACGACTTCACTGTAGTATCAGGAAAATCGACGATGAGAACATCCGTCTATATTCTTAGAGATAGTGATGTTGTAAGTCAATTTTGAAATAGTATAACAGTTATTGTTAGGATACACAGCAAGTAAAATTATAGCAAACTCACAACAAAGCATCTGCCGATGCGCCAAGATTTTTAATTATAATTTCCCGAAAATAGTTGCATTCTTATAGAGCGCGCTTTTTATTAGTCACGCTAGTGTGAGCCGTACGGCCAGTTGTCTCGCACTCTTTTTTATCCTGAAACTGAAATTTAGTAAATGATACATGCATTAAATACCTGCAATCTAATGTACAAAACACATACAGAAACTATAAATCATGAATTTATTATTTCTAAAATTTAATTGATTTTTGCTGAGTACGGTCCTGTACAAATCTCTTAGAAGTTAAGCTAAATGATAAAGTAAATTGAAGGTAGAATAACTGGAAAAAGAAAACAACAACCTTTGTTGTCATTTGATTGAAAGTTAGGTTATATATTCAAACTGTCGTTTAAAATGACGTCTGTTTCAGCCCTATGTTGTTTAAAAGGTTGTTTGAATGGTTTTAATTTTTCATCCACGGTTCCTCATATTCCCAGGGAAAATCCTATACAGCTTGACACTGCTTTCATGGGTATTAACTGTAATAACTGTTTCTATTGCAAGTTATTATTTGACATTTATTTATTTAGGCTACGAAGTTGTAATTGTAAAAGGGGGCCAAAGAGTTTGTGGTGCCGGAGCAGCTCTAGGCAGTGCTCCTTTAGTACAATCAAAGTCTTACTTCGAAGTTAAAATACAACAAGGAGGTTCTTGGTCAATTGGTTTAGCGACTCGTCAAACAGACCTAAGTTTAACACAAGGTAAATGAAAGTTAGCAGCTGATTATTGTTTTCTTAATTAAGTCCTTTTAGGAGGTATGGATGAATTCTCGTGGTGTTTATGTAGCGATAATGTAATACGACACAACAAGCATGATCTCTATAGGCTAGGTTGCTCAAACAGTTTAATTCCTAATGGAACTATGGGTGACACAGTAAATAATTTACCTCAAGAAGGTGATATTATAGGTGTTTCATATGACCATATTCAACTAAAATTTTACTTAAATGGTAAAGAACTGGAATATGCAGTTTCTAATGTAAAAGGAACAGTATATCCTGCACTTTATGGTAAGTATTGAGATACTTTACTCCTTCTTTAATATAATAACTAAACTAATTTCAGTTGATGAAGGAGCTATATTAGATGTTACTTTTGATAATTTCACATACTCATTACCTAACGGTTTTGAGAAAATCATGTTGGAACAATCATTACTGTAATTTAGATATGCAACTATTGTATTTTATGTACAAATGTATACAAAGATATTATGTTAAAACAAACTCGTTAAAATTGTGGCACATACAGCTTTCAATTTGTTTATAAAAACGTTTTACAATTAGTTATGTAAAACTTTTAAGAATTTATTCCCACATAATATTAATACAGTGAAAGTAAAAAGTAAATTATTTTTTGATAGTAACTAAAAACTTTTTACAAAGAATTTAACAGGGGAGAACAGCGTAACATCCATTAAAAGTAATTATTGCATTTAAACTAGTTAAATGTGAAAGAGTAATTTATAACATAGTATTTTATAATTAAAAAATTGCAATGTAATAAAGACAAAATCATGTCGAAAAAAAGGCAGAGTTATGCTTTCTTAAATATTTTGTTTAATAAATTTAGATTTTAAACATAAGGTGTTATGAATAATTATTTATTAATGATACGTAATTGTAAAAATATGTCGCATCTTTCACTGCATACAGCTATGTAACTTGAAAAATATTCCAAACATATTTGTTTTAGCAATGCTGTATCAATATTTTAAATATTACTTAATCAAAAAAATGATGCTTTGTAGTTGTACTTGCAAATTAACTACTATTGTAATCCAATGTTTAATTTTATCGCTTTTTATATTAATGAATTAATAGCGAATATATGTCGAATTTTTGAACAGGGAGCAAAAAGCTAATTGCCTGAAATCTGGCAGTTATTTATTTATAACGTATTTTTATAAATTATGTTTATTTAAAAAAATGTAAAATTATTGTGTAAATAAATTAATTTTTAAGTATCTTGGTATATTCTTTATAAATGTACCACAACTAAAANATTATTATGTGAGAACTTGAGATTGTTTTATTAAAAATAATTACAGAAATCTCACAAAAAGAAATATATACCTATATAAATATTATTTATGTCTCATCGTCTAAGGGAGCGTACCTATTACATTTTTTTTAATTTTATTTTATTCTGAAGACACACGAAAAAGTTTCTTTCAAAATTTTTCTTATGTTCAAGATTCCCGAAGAACGCAGTTGTGCTGACGCTTACATTGAAGCCCATTGGTGTGCTTGCTTGGAATGGATAGATCTACCTTTGAGTAATCATATTGTCAATTTTGTAAGCGCCACATTAGTGAACACAATTAATAATTACACCTCGACACAAAGGAATATTTGTGCCACCCTTAGTCTTTCTAGAGTTCTGTGGATACAGGAATTAAAACCAAATGAGAATTTGCTTAAATTTAAATCAAATGCTGATTACGATGGATTTGTTCCCGATCTTTCGGGAAAAACAGTTGTCGATACGAGAACGTATCAGCTTAAAGCGGAATTACTTCCGGGTAGATCTCTTTTTGAGGCCACAATTACTCACCATTTGTCTAATAATGATTTTTCTTTAAAAATAAGCGACATTAGTAGAACGAATGCGTATGGTGATCAAGCAGGCTGTGTAGAAGAAACATTACCGAACCTTCGAAAATTTTGTTATTGTAAAAGTTAAACTGGGATTATAATCAATTTTTAATGTCAATTTTGAAGCTCAAATTAATTTTTAATTTTTTCTATTTTATTTCGGTAATAATTCCCCCTTTTGAATATATTTTAACGAAATACAACCCCAGTTATTTGTAGAACTTATGAATATTATAGAATATGTCGCACATTAAAAGTTTGTGAAACTCTTTTGAGTGTTATCTTAATCTTATTTAACTAAAATGACAATATGATAAATTAATTGTATTAAAAGCGTGATTCTCAATAATTTTCCAGTAAATATTTTGAATTTTCGTACTTAATTAGAAACCACAAGAGTCATATTTATTCTATTTTTATGACAAGAAAGTAGATTGTGGTTGTGGTGGATTTGCGTACCCATGAGGTACGAAATTCGGTATTTTTTTTTTAATTGTGCTTATCTGGCTTATTACCCAAGATAGTAAAACTTTAGTGTTACAGGAGGTACCAACAGATCATTATTTCCGAACTTATTATATTGCTGAAAAAGGTCACAGTTGGTTTTCTTCGCCACTGTGCTCCGGTAGTACTCCGCAACATGTAGTTATGTTTAACTACATAAAACACGTGAGTTTACGCAAAAATGCTTAATAAAATAGACCTTGTTTACAAAGTTTCTTTGTTTTCAGTTTTTTTCAGTCTATAGAAACAGGCCTAAGTTTCTTTTCGGCTTTCACGGCCAGTTGTCTCACGATTCTTATAACTTAATCGGTGCTGCCGATGACGATTTATATAAATTTCTCAAAGAATTAAATGATAAGGGACATTTAAACAACACAATCCTGATATTGATGTCTGATCATGGACACAGGTACAATTTAATTAATACATTGTTTCATATAACTAACTGATTAACTAACTTTCTTTGCATTTCCCGAAAACTACAACATCTCACACCCCTAACTGTATATATCTTTACGAACAATTATCTAATCTAGGTATTCCTCGGCTACTCTTTATTCCTGTTTCTGCCTCTAGCATATCTCTAACTAGCCCTTCATATCTCAAAAACTGTCCTAAATCTTATCTTTCCTTTTTCTTTTTGACTTCCATTGTTCTTCTATTTACTGTTCCATTAATAAAATATATTTTTTAAATAAAAATATTTTTTTTACGAACGAATAACATATAATTTATAATTTATAAAATTTAATTCATATTTTGAACAAAATTCGCACCTTAAGTGTAAAAATATCCCTTTGTATTTTTTGTGTATTAATCCTAATTTTCAGATTTGCCAGTATAAGAAATACCATTCAGGGAAAGCAGGAGGAGAGGTTGCCCTTTTTTTCATTTACTTTTCCGAAATGGTTTCGAAAAAAATATAAACAGTATTATACGAATTTCGTAAACAACTTAAATACGCTTACTACCCCATTCGATATTTATTCGACTCTCAAAACAGTGATCGATTTGAATACTGTAAAGAACAACACCTTGGACCATCGTTCAATTTCGTTATTCAGCAAGGTTAGTCCTTATACCTTACATATGCAAACAGTACATATGTTTATTTTTGGTCACACCTGCATGAGATACTGTAATATACCTACTAATTCCTAAATGTTTTTATACTAATGTAATTTAAATATTTTTCATTTTCACACAAAATT